CGGGCTCTGCCCGGCCCCGAACGCCTCCCACACCGAGCCGGGTCAGTGCCCGCGGCGCCGGGCGGCCGAGCTCTGCGCCTGGGCCCTGTCCTCCGACAGCCTGCTAGGTACGGCCTGCCCTGCCCGGGGCTCCGTACTCCTGTCCTGCCTTGTCCCGGCGCTCCGTACTCCTGTCCTGCCTTGTCCCGGGGCTCCGTACTCCTGTCCTGCCTTGTCCCGGCGCTCCGTACTCCTGTCCTGCCTTGCCCGGGGCTCCGTACTCCTGGCCTGCCTTCTCCCGGCGCTCCCTACTTCTGGCCGTCGCTTTTGCTTGTTGGGTTGTAGCAGCTCCCTAAGCAGTAACTAAGCGAAGACGTGATACACATAGTCGAATATTATTTTTAAAATTAAAACTGGATTGGTCATAAGGAGCTTCTTTTTCCCCGAGTCCCAATTATGTGTTAGTGCAGAGTTGATAACCTGACACTTCTCTGGAAGTACACAAAGCATTCCAGCTCTCCTAGCTCTCGGGCATACAAAACTGCGTGTAATCACAATGCTAATTGATATGATAGCATTACAGAACTAATTTCAGTAGGTGACACAATTACTTGTGAGCATTAAGAAATAATAGTCAGTGATAAATCTTGTGGCAGCTGGCTATAACAGGATCTGTCATTAGAGGCTGTAAGGAACATGGCTAGCAGCAAGGCTCCAGAGATGCTAACTTCAAGTTTTTACAAGACAATGAGTATGAGGTACTGGGATTTTATAATTAATGTGGAATTGTAAGATTGTTGCAAGCAAAAGTCCATAAAGATGGGAAACCACACTGTTTTAAAACAATATTTGTCCTCTGTTACTATGGAAAAGGGCACAGAGTAAGTCTGAAGGAAGAATGAACTTCTGAGTACAGATGTATGCTACAGCAAGAGCTAAATCTAACTCGTTCATTTACTGTTTACATTACTCACAAAAGACTTCATCTGTTTTCTTGAGTTGTGTGGTGATCACATTGTTGCATATGGACTGTACACAGCAATTACTGATGCACAGTGACTTAGGTCTGTTGCACTACATTGTTCAGCTCTGGGAAAAGCTGAACAACTCTGTCTCCTGCAGGTATTTTTTAGGGTGTATATAATTGAGTGCAACATCAAACTGCCCTGAGACTATTCTAGTCACAGACTATTCAGTCTATTCTTAGATATGGTTTAGATCTTAAAACTAGAATACCCTGGTAGATTCTTTAACTGCAGAATTCAGTCCTTTTCAGAAATTCCAAACAATGAAATCCTAAATTTATTTGGGCTTGCTTTTTGTGAAGGCTTAATATAAATTGGTAAAGTTGTAATGTTACAAGTTTTAATTGTTTATAAGGCATCTTGGCTGGATTTAAGAGGAAACATAGTAAGAATAATATAATTAATTGGTTTTTATACAGCATTTGTTGTCTGTTTCATGTTTACAGATCCTTTTCCAGTTGATGTGATACAAGAAAATTATGTCCGTAATGTGAGAAACTGCATTTTTTCAGTTGTCTATCCTACACCTTTTAAATCTAGAGTTCATCTTGTAGCTGTTTCAAAGGTTGGCTATTATTTTTTATTACTCTCTAGTTCGTAGAAATTACTAACACATTTACTAAAGTATACTTTAATATTCATGCTCTATATATTGTAAAACATCTCAATATATACTTTAAACAAAAAGAGCATTTAAAACATATTGTGAGATGTCTTTTAATGATGAAATATATAGAGAAAACATGTTCATTACCACTGAAAATTTGATCATGTTCAAGTATTATTTTTTTCTCCAGGAAGTTCTTGAAAATATTTTGGATCTTGATATATCTGTCAAAGGATCATCTGATTTTCTGGAGTTTGTCAGTGGTGGGAAAGTGATATTTGGGTCTGTTCCACTGGCCCATAGGTATGGGGGTCACCAGGTAAGTATGGCACTTGTTCTTCCAGGTGGAATTGTGTAGGTCTTTTCTTGTGAATTACACCTTGATAATACCTGTAAGTATTGATAATACCTGAGTATATGCCTGTGAGTGCATGAACGCTTACTAACATTTTGATTTCAGACTTGTTCTTCATAACAGGCTGCAGGTGAAAGAGAACTATAATATCCTTCCACAGTACCTGTTTACTTGCTCTGCTTTTGTTTATGCCTGGAGAAAATTATTGTTTTAACTTTCATTAGCTGCCGAGCCTGCTTAGCACCCCACAGCCTGGCCAGCTCTGCTTTGTGATAGACACTAAGAGTTCAGAGGAGTGGAGAAGGACAGAGCCTCACTGCAACACCATGATTGCTAAGATTCACATTTCATTGGAATGGCTATGATTATTCATGGAGAAGAATTTGATTTGTAATTTTCAATTAAAAAAAAAACAAACCAAAACAAGCCGTGTGGGTTTAAAGGCTCATTATACAAAAAAGACAGGTCTGTAGCTGTACGTCATAGCTGGAAGGTAAAAAAACCAGAGGATTACTGCTGTTTCTCTTTTCCTGCGGTTTTCTGATTCATTTCTGGAGTGAGTGTGGAAATACAGCTTTAGGGATCAACATTTTAATGTAAGCAAATGTATCTTTTGTGAGGACCTCGATTTAATCTGTATTGTTTCAAGTATAACTTCTACAAATGATGGAGGACAATAACTTGATTTAAATTTTTGCCAGTTTGGTAGCTGGGCAGGTCAGCTGGGGGATGGAAGAGCCCACTTGATCGGAGTATATACAAACAGGTGTGACTTTTTTAAAATGTCTGATTGAACTCTGTGTTCAGCTTAGCTGATTCATGATTAACCTGAGGTCTATTGCTGGAAATGCCAATGGTATTTTTGCAGGCGTGGTGAGAGGTGGGAACTGCAGTTAAAAGGGTCAGGAAAGACCCCATACTCCAGGTAAGTTGCAGTTATTCTGTGTACTCTGAAACAGAATGTTTTCTGTTTGAAATTTCCCTTGATTTTATGACCTGTTCCTTATTTCTCTGTTCTCTATAGGAATGGTGATGGAAGAGCTGTGCTTCGCTCTTCTGTTCGAGAGTTTTTATGTAGTGAGGCCATGCACTATCTTGGAATTCCTACAAGCAGAGCTGCTAGGTATTTTTCTTTCCTTTGTTCACAGTATACTAATTTACAGGTAATTTTGTGACTGAGTTTCACTGAACATCAATAAAACAGGACAGTTAGTTTCCAGGATGAAAGATCTCTTCATATGTATGCAATCAGAACAAAATACGTTCTCCACAGATTTGTACAGCAATTAATTGCATCACATAGTTTGCTGCATTCAAGAAATATTACTTAACTACTTTAGTGTAGTAAAGACTCATTTCTGTAAAGTTACTCCAAATTCTAGAATCTAGCCAACTAGGAAAATGTTGAAAGTGGATATTTTTGTACTGTAATTTTTAAGATTGCTGGGAAAAATTGTCAGTCATTAATAATAATAATATGTTATATTTATATATTATATATAAAATACATTAATATTGGAGGTAGAACTGAATGAAGGCAGTTAGGAGACAAACATATTTATTCATTTGGATGATTTTCTCAGAATCAAGTAACTGAATGTTTTCAGATGATCGTGTTTAAAATGCCAAGTTCACTTTGTGTTCCAAGTAGTCTCAAGTCTGTACTACAGTGTTTAAGGCTTCAAATAAAGCAAATGTTCTGCAGAAAAGGCCTGTACTCAGCTGCCACATGGCTAGGTGTCTGTATTTGCAAAGTGTCTGCAAATCTCTTTAGCATTAGTTCTAACTCATTTGCTCTGTTAAAGTGCAGTGTTTGTAAATGACATTTTTGATGGTTTATTCATTGACTTCAACTTGAGACTCTTTGCTGTTGGCTGTTAATGCAGAACTTTAAATCTGTCTGAATATCAGTAGGAAATCATTTGGCAGGTTAGAGCCTCTCTTTGCTGTCATCTCAACAAATTGTTCAGTGCAAAACCAGTATGAAATTACCCCTTTACTGTGCACAAATTCTACTGAGCACACAGTGTGCTTTAGTTCTCTGCTGGCAGATTGGTTAAATGCCTGGCTCTCTTAACTGTTGTACAAGCTCTGCAGACTGTTTGCAAGACTTAATTTGGAAAAACCCCAGCTGACAGCCATATTCTTCCCGATGGGGAGCTGTTGTACTGAGGCTGGTGGGATACACTTAACAGAGGTCTTGTCAAGTCTTGGCAGAAGTGGGAGGAAAAACCTTATGGCTTATGCCAGAACACCCAGCAGGTTGGTTTGCTCTATTAATTTTAAGTACTGTGTTCCCAATAGGGTGCTACAGTTTATGACTGTACTGCCAGATACAGAACACTTCATACAGTACCATTTTAGTCACACGCTGGGACTACCAGTGAGCAGTGTTACGCATTAAGTCAAAAAAGGGAACCAATGTGCGTAGTTTTCCGAGTGGCTTTACTTGCACAGGGCTTGATGTTCATGTGGAACAGCAGGCAGAGCACTGGGAGTGTAAAGTCATGCCTTTAAGTGAGAGCCAGGAAGGGAGGGATATAATCAATCCATCCATCCATCCATCCATCCATCCATCCATCCATCCATCCATCCATGAGCACTGTTCCAGCTTCTTTGGTGTAAGAGCAATTTCAGTACTCTGTTTCCTATGGGTGAGCATACAGCTGGTCTTCTCCACAGTAATGGTGTTTGCCACCTACAGGGACCATTGGAGAGCTGCTTTTCTAGTGGAAAAGTGTGTTCGTGTGGCTGCTCAGATACCTGGCCAGCTCTCAAGTGTTGCATGTCCATACTAACTGAATGTTGATGCCCCAATGGATTTTTTATCTGCAATAGAAGTGCTGGTATTCTGTAGGAATTCTGCAGAGAGCCTGCTAAGAGTTACACAGTGAAAAGAAAATAAGCTTTCTGCCATAGGTCTGTTCAAAACAGTTGAGTTTAGTAGCACAGCTTTTGTGCCTTCTGTCCCCTAGTGCTCTGCTGCACACAGTATATTGTAGGTGTCTGAGGTTCCTTCCTTGGTTTTCATTTTTTTTTCTCTTGAAGGATTAATATTTTCTTCTTCCATCTCATTTATGTCAGAACTTTTTGTACTTAATCCTACAGACATACCAATTGGTTTCAAATGGGTATTTAACAAAACCAAATCCTAATTCTACTTGTATCAGTACAGCTCCAATAAAAGGAGCAGATTGATTTCTATATATTTTTCCCGTCCTGAAATAATTCACTGCCTGTTCTTTGCAGTTAACAGAACATTCAGTTTTAATAGCTACTAGATATCTTCAGAAATACTTAATATAATAACAATAATTTAGTTTCAAACCCACAGTTACTGTTGCAAGCAACTGCACTATGTAGGACTTTGTGCTATTTCTTTTCATGACCTTTTTGTACATATTTATATTTATATGCATACCCCACATTTTTGGTTAAACTGAATTCTTTCTAAAATTTCAATGCTAAAGTATGTCAAACCAGAATCTAGTGTACTTCCAAAATTTAACTTTTGGGAATTAACAGTGTGACTATCTTCAGTCATATTTATGAATGGAGTATTAGGCTTGTGTTTTGTTCCTTGCTGCGTACCTTAAAAAAAAGTTTGGTCCTGTCTTCTCTGCTCTCTTCATCTACTTAATAGGTAGCAGATATAAGTAACTGCAGTAAATGTCGAGTAGCATGCCATCCAACTATATTCTGAATCATGGAATTGTAATTTGGATTGGAAGAGACTTTTACTGGTCTAGTCCAATTCCCCCTCAATGAGCAGGGGCATCTTCACTAAATCAGGGTGTTTGAAGGCCACTCCAACTTGACCTTGAATATTTCCATGGATAGGGCATCTACCACCTTTTTGGGCAACTTGTTCCAGTGTCTCACCACCCTCAGAATAAAAAACTTTTTCCTGATGTCTTATCTAAACCTGCCCCTTTTCTGTTTACAGCCATTCCTCTTTGTCCTATTGCTAGAGGCCCTGGTAAAGAGTACCTGTTCCAGCCAGCTTTGGGGACTGGAGGGTGCTGTGAGGTCTCCCCTTACTCCCCATGTGCAGCCCTAACTCTCAATCTGTCCTCATGGGAGAGGTGCTCCAGCTCTCTGATCATTTCTGTGGCCCTCCTCTGGACTCTCTCCAGTAGGTCCATGTCTCTCCTGAATAGAGTAATAATTTCTAGTTATCAAAAACAAACAAAAAAAGAATTATACAAAATGGGCTGAATTATCCTCCTGCTAGATTCTTGAACTTAGGGGTCTTCTGAGCCTATTGAGGGGCTAAGATCTCTTTCAGAAGATGGCAACAAGATGGGTTGTCAGTGTAATCCCAGTTTCTTTGGAGAGGAAATTTCCTGGTTTTTGATCTTGGAGGAACATGATGCCTTTGCATAGTTTGTGATGATTGATTCTTCCTGATAGAAGAGAAAATACAATGAAATTATGTACTTTATTTCATAGAATTAATCTAAATTGTGAAATATTTTAAAACAAGTTGTATGGAACTCTCACAGACCTCAATATTTGGATAAACATGAAAATTTATAGAATGTGAAGAATTTTAAGGCAAATGAAAGGAAGAGATTGCTTTTGAAAGTCCAAGTGCCAGTTGCTAAGTGTCACAGACCTGTCCCTGAAGTTTCTGAGATAATTTTGGTGCATGTAATGGGCAACCTCCACCTGATACAACAATTTGGTTTCTAATTTCTCTCTCCTCAAAATTTCCATGTTGTCCCCAGGAAAATTGTGACTTAATGTTGCAGTCACACTAATCTGTCACTCAGGTTCCAAGTGAATGCACTGCTCTTTTTGGCAGCCATCTCCCCAAGAACAATGAGAGTAACAAAATTGGACAACATTGCTTTACATACAAAATAAATGCACTTTGGTCATGAATCTTAGTAAGCCTCAGCATCTTCTTTGCCTGTGTCATTTGTAAATACAAAGCTATGCCACCAAAACAATGTTTCTTTTTATGAAGAAAATTAATTTCTATAAAATACTGCTTTGATCTTTGTTATTAATTATTTTTGCTGAGATAACTTTTAATGTTCATTTCTTGTTTGCTACAGCCTAGTTGTAAGTGACGATGATGTGTGGAGAGACCAGTTTTACAACGGAAATATTAAGAAAGAAAGAGGTAATGAACATATTTTAAAATGTTACAACATTGTAAATTAATTCTCCATAAAAATGTGTAATAAAAAGTAATAAATTGTCTTAATTTAATTTATTAAGATATAAAACCTCTCCTGAGAAAATCAATCTGAAACGTATCTTGGTTGAAGAAATGAAGTCCTCTGAACAGTCTTCTATGATTGTGGCATACATATTGCAAGAGTATTATTTTCATTTCCCATTACAAAATTGTTATTAAAAACTAGGGGAATTTTCCATTGTTTTGACAGCAATACCAGGATGGGTGGAATGCAATTGTGGCCATGTCACTGCTACATCACCTATATGTGCTCTGAAAGAGTCAGATGCCACAGCATGGAGAAAATCTGTTTGTGTTCTTTCTTTGAGGCTGGCATTTCTGGAGCAATTCTAATATTAATGCACTAACAGAATTTTGCCTGTGGTTGCTGGTATAACAAATCAAGCTTTATCATTAAAATGCATATGTAGTAAAATAATGTTATACATATTCATCTCTTATGTGTTAGGTATCCTTACAAAATATCATTTTAACTCTGCATATATAAACTCTGTGTCTATAGAAACAACACATGGTGGCTTTTGCTATGCAACTGTTTTATTTTGCTGATACTCTGTTTACATTTAAACACACTTGTCTCTTGTATTTAAGGTGCAATAGTGCTACGACTTGCCAAATCATGGTTTCGTATAGGATCCTTGGAAATCTTAGCTCACTCAGGGGAACTGGACTTACTAAGGTTTGGATTGAATCTTCATAGTAACTGTAATAGTTTTCTCAACAATCAAATTGCATTAGAATTCATTTATACAGTTGGAATTTAGACATAAATTATTGAGCAAGTAAGATTACATAATTTAGAAAGGAAACCTGCTATTTTTATACAGGCATCCCAAAGATCTTACAAGGGTTAAAACTCTTTGAGATGTTTCTAAAGGCCTGGATCTCACAAAATGAGGAGAGTTTTATACCAAAGTAGTTCTGGTAACTAAGCACTAGGGAGGACTTGTTTGTTTTGGAAAGATTTGTAAGTTGAAAGTGTAAATTCATACATTTCCCAGTTTTCTGTGAGAGTTCCTGCAAATTTTAATGCATGTGTCCCATTTCCCTAAGCCTGTCATGTAGAGCACTGTTTTGGAATGGCCAGTTACTGTGAAAGTAACCCTGCTTCATAGGAATTCAGCTGTAACTTTTTCTTTTGAGAATTCTGATGTAGAATTCCTTTTAATCTTATACTCTTTTTTTTTGAAATGCAAATTTTTTTTCCCTAAAGAATGGGTATTGCTGCATGCAAGACCATGTCCTGGTATGCTCTGAAGATTTAATGGTGGGATAATTTTAACCCTGTGTGGCAGTCTCCAGTTGTATGTATGACTACAACCTTAGGTTTTATCTCTAAGCATTTGGAAGAGCTTAATCTAATATTCATTGGAATAAATAGACTTTAATAACTATTTGTGGCAAGCTATAGATCAGCATTTTGCTGTTTGAGAACAAGAATTTTTAATGATCAGTTCCAAAGTACCAGTTTTGTTTAAAGAATTCTGTTTCTGCTATTACAGAAGATTGCTGGACTTTATCATCCAGGAACATTTTCCATCGATAGCTATGAATGATTCAAATAGATACCTGGTAAGTCTTTTTTAAGAGTCATTTTTATTACCCACAGGGATATGAACAAAAATTACAGGAAGATCTTCACAATTTCAAGTTTTATAGGATTTTAAAATTTGAAGTAAGGTTCCAGGTTTTATTATCAAAAGTCTGTTTATTCTCATCAGTAAAAATCTGCTTCTTGATTTTTTTTGTTTTCTCAAATACGAACATTTTTCTCCAGTTTCCATTATGAAAATATTTATTATGAAGCTTCCATTTTCTGTTGTTTTAGTTCTCTTACTGCTCAGGTTGTCGGTGAACAGTGGTCATGAAATGAGGAAGTGTGCTTTTGCTAATGTAAATGTAGCATATATAGTATATTCTAGTATACTGCCTAGTATATATAGTGTCTTTGGTTTTTGTTGCTTTTATTTTACTTCTTAACTTCTTTAAGGGCATCTGTGTATACTTATTTAACTACAGTCTTTGCTGGATAAGGTTATTATGCATTCACATAATTTAGAATGGGAATGGCAAATCCTGACAGATACATAGATTTGAAAAATAGAATGTATTACATATTTCTAAAGTGAATAAAATGCTTATGTATTTCAATATGTTTGATACAGAGAACTTGAACTAAAAGATGTATTTGATTTTAGGAATTTTTCTCTACAGTCATGTCAGAGACTGCAAATCTCATTTCCTTGTGGATGTCTGTGGGGTTTGCACATGGTAAGGTGCCAGATGGCATTGGCTTTAGGGGAGGGACACTTTACAGTAAAGTACTTAAAAATGGCTTTTATTTGTCACCATCTTCAGTTCTGCTGATGTCTTCACCTGCAGCTTTATCTGTTACACAAGGGGCTTTTGTAAGGGTTATGCTGTCTGATCTCTCAGAGCACAGCTGTGACAGGACAGGAATAGGGGAGCAGGAATTCTCAGAGCTGCTGCAACAGGACAAAGTACAAAGACAGGGTAATGATGCCACATGGAAGTTTAACTGCTCTGAATTTGGTCCATCCACATAAAGCCCTGGCCTTTTACAGTGCACAGGAGACAGAGCTGTCCAGCTTTCTGCAGATTTGTGGCATTAACCCCAAAACAGCGGTGGGAGCAGTAGCCTCAGTGTCCTGCAGGATGTGGGCTGGGGGCACAGGGACAGGTTCATTTTCCAGAGTTTGATTCCTGAGAGCTCTCTAAATTCAGTGGACCTGTTTGACAGCAAATTGCCTAGATATTTGGTTCAGGTGGAATTTTAACTTCTTTCTCTCCTTTCTGTTTAACTGTAGGTGTGTGCAATACAGATAACTTCAGTTTGTTGTCCATAACAATAGATTATGGTCCATTTGGATTTATGGAGTCCTATGATCCAAGTGAGTGTAACGCCTGTTTTTATTATTTTTTTGTTACTTAAGATAATATTTTTATATTAAATTATATGGTTTCCATTGCATAAAAACCTCTTTTCATTATTAGCAGAAAAACCATAAGCATATGTACTATTTGAAGAACTTTAGGGGAAAAAATTGCATCAGTGACCAGTTTTATGACACACTATACAGGTTGCATTCAAGGACTAAAAGTCTTGAATTTTTAAAATGAAATATTACTATTAAACCCATTTCTTTGAGACTGTTTCCAGTTGAACACCATCAATTCAATAGATGCTACAACAGAAGCCAAGAAAACTAAAAATTTTATATTGCTGGAAGCAGCCAAAAGCAGAAGACAGTAACTTTGCATGCATGAAGCTCTAGCTTTATAGTCACAGCAGCTAATTATATGTTGGAAGGAAAGAAATCAAACCTACACAGTCATGGTAACCTTTCTTTGAAAATCTTAACTCAGTCAGTCTGGGATTGATAGACACACATACAGTATGTACATAAATGTGTGTTCTTAGAATATTGTTCATAGTTTCCAACAGAATAAACTTCAGAATCAGCAGTGATTACCTTGCTATGTGTTTTCATGCCTGCAGCCTCAAATTAAGGAAAAGTCATGAGAATAAATGTCATATTGTTTCTATTGTATTGAACAAAATGGGGCTTTTTTTGCTTTTAGCTCTCTCTCTGTAGAGTGTCTTGACTCTAGCTGGCAATTAAGGACCCACAATCCACTTGTTCACTCCTTGCTGTGGGCTGAGGGAGAGAATTAGAGAAGCAAGGCTAAGAAAAAGCTTATGGGTCAAGATAAAGACATCTGAATAAGTCAAGGGGAAAAAGGGGCACTAGCAACCAGCAACTGGTGCAAAGACAATCACTGACCATATCTCACCAGCAGGCTGATGTTAAGTCAATCCCCAAGTAACAGCTGCCTTGGAAAAACTACCCCTAGTTTTTATTGCTGATCATGATGTTACAGGTGTCGAATATCCCTTTGGTCAGCTGGACTCAGCTGTTCCAGCTGCATCCCCTCCTAGCCTCTTACCCACCCCAGCCTCATTTTCTGGGGTTGCAGAGTGAGAATAGAGCCCCTGGTGCTGGGCCAGCCCTGCTGAGCTGTGTGTAGAACTTTGCTGTGCTATCAGCACTGTTTCAGTCACAAGTCCAACTCACAGTGCCAGACAGGCTGCTGTGAAGAGAGCTGACTCTGTCCCAGCCAGACAGTGCACCCTAGAGCCAGATGAGAGGGTTAGAGTTGAAATTCAGCTTTGAACCACTCACCAGATCTGACAGATGAGGCACCAGTCTCCTCCTTAGAGCTCCACTTGCTGTCAGTGTCCTGTGAGGGCTCAGGCGATGCTGTGGGCATTGATCAGTTTACCTGGGTGTGACCTGAGTGAGGGTTCCCACTGATCCCTGCAGAGACTGCTGCTGTAGATAGGCATGCATTTTACTTCTGGATACCTGTAACTTGCATGGTAGGTATTTATTATCTCCCAGATAATGGATTTGCATAGTGGAACACATTAGGCCTGATTTTTATGTGAATACAAAGCTTTCTTGTCCAATTGAAACAAATCTTGCTTAGGTGGCCTATTAAGTACTGTTCACTGTATGTGTGACTTTTCCATAAATACTTAAATCCTGAATCTAGTTGGACATTTGTTTGCTTAATCTATGTGCAAAATAGTAGCACTAGATGTAGTAAAAAATATTTGGTTTAAGTGTAAAAGACAGTGTTTTTAATGCAAAAATGGTCTTTTTCTCTGTAACCATCTGAATTTACCTTGTATCTTCAGGTAGGAAAATGTCACTTGTGACATTGTCACAAGTCCTTGTGTGTGAAGGATATATTCCTTAGATTTTGAAATAATAGATCTTGAGTTAATTCACTTTAAATGAATGTTCTTGTGATCTGATTTTAAATATTTAGTAGTTTTAGGTCTTCTATAAGTTTGCTGTCTAAATATAAAAATTAATGTATTTCAATAGCTCAACATTGATTGTTTATTGTAATTACTCTGTTACAGAAACTAATATTTTGTTTGAAACAGATTTTGTTCCAAACACATCCGATGATGAAAGGAGGTATAAAATAGGAAATCAGGCAAGTGTTGGGCTGTTTAATCTGAGCAAGCTGTTACAAGCTCTAAAACCTTTATTGGATCCCAGGCAAAAGCAGCTGTAAGTAATCCTTAAAATATCGTAATGCTTAAAGGAACTAGTGAGATGGGAAACACTGTAATCACCATATGCTTAGGAAAGAAAGGGATTAGCTTTTAAAATGTTTTATTTCCTTTTTAACTGGAAATTGATTCTGGATTAATTATTGGCCAGAATAAGATTGGAGGGTGGGGAGAAAAGCTTTTATTGGTCATAAATTGTAGTAAAATATGACACAGAGAGGTATTAGATGTCGTGTGATCCTGCCTCCTTCCACTAAGGTAGTACCTTTGCCTGTAGTTCTCTGTTCTAAGTTTGTCTAGCTTGTTTTGTAAGACACTTAGGAAGACCATGCACCCTCCTGAAGTAATGAAGTAGTATTTTAATAGCCTCTTGTAAAGATCCTTATACAAAGAACAGATTGCTGATGATTCAGAGTATCAGTGTTTCTGAGATAGCAGGCAGAAGTTTTCATTGGTTAAAGTATAGCAGGATTATACCCACAGCAGTGTTGTAGCTCCTTAGAACTTAACATTTCTTTTGTTTTGCAGAGCTTCCCAAATTTTGGAGGGGTATGGTGAGCACTATTACAGTCGGTATGCACTTTGAGAACTGAAACCTTCTAGTCTCAATACTGTAAAATATGTAAAGTTCACAATTTCCATATTTTGTTACTATTTTCAGTTTCACAGAACTATTCAAAACAAAATTGGGTCTTCTTGGGGAGAAGGAGAATGATAACTACTTGATTGCTTTCCTCTTAAAAGTGAGTTCACTTCGCTAACTTTTTGCAAACATCTGAACTGACACCCCACACTTGAAAAGCATTCATAGAAGTATCTTTATTCACTAGATTATGGAAGATACAAAGGCTGATTTTACAATGACATTCCGAGAGCTGAGTGAAATTACTGCAGACCAGTTAAAGGAGCTCCATATTCCTGAGGTATAAATACAAGCACCCAATCTTAGAAATACGTAATAAAAAAAGAGTAAATCAAGTTGAGAGTAACCACAATATAGTACCTCAAGCCATGATTCATCTGGGAAATATAATATTGTATCATTGTTAAGGGACAGAGGGACTAATATACCTGTGTCAGGCTACCACCCCTTGTTAAGCCTGTGTCTGGTAATGATGGATATGTTAATCAAAAGTACTAATGAAAGGTGCATTAATGAAGAATGCTGAAGTCAGATTTTTGGTACAGGTTCAATATGGGTAGTCATAAATACTGATATACAATGGGGAATGTGATTTTCTTCACATTAATGTGGGTCTGCTACAAAGAACTTTCTTCCCCCTCATCTCCCTTTTTTTGATTTGTTTGAGAGTACCTTTTACCAACAAGTGCAGTGTCACAGGGCTCATCAGGAAAATTTCAGCCTCAGGTCAACCAGACTGTGCATGGTAAACCCGGCAGCCTAAACCTCTGCTCTCAGGTGTGTTTGTTTGTCTCGGTATCTGATGATAAGTGAGGTTCCATCTCAGCATAAACTCCTGCTAGAACTCTCTGCCCAGATTGGCCTCTGCCCTTCCTTGAGCACAAGACTGGTTTTAAATGTAACTTAAAGCATAAGAATACATTTTGCTGTTGTGTCCTGCTCAGCCTGCTATCCAATCCTGTGTTGCTGCTAACTTAGCCTGAACTTATTCTTCAGGACCAAGTATAACCATAGATAAAAGCCTTGAGAGTATTTAAATTTTTTTACCTGGATGTAGTGCAGTCTTTGAAAGTGGAAATACAGCTGAAATGTTTGAACTGGACTTTTGGAGTCTGAGATACAGAGTGTGTGCCCTTGTTTCTAATACTTAGTTCTAGGATCCAGAAAAACACTGAATTTCATATAACATGAAATTCATGAGCATGTTTTCATGGTGATACATGAGAACAAATGTTAAGGTTAGATAGGAAAAGCTAAAAGTGTAAGTGTGTGGATTAGAAAGTTTTTTAAATCACTGGGTGAAAAAGTAGTTTAGAGAGCAGAAGACAAGATGGAGGATTTAGGGTGTTGTCTCTTGTCCTTCTTCTTTCTTCTTCTTTCTTCTTCTCCTAGGGGTTTTTGGGTAGTAGTGATTGGATAAAAAATGCCGCAGTGCAGCACACAGGTGTTGGGTCATTGGGTCACTAAAAAAATAATTTAGTTGGCATCTGTTAATTGGGTAAATGGACATATAAAAGACCTTGAAGAAGATCTTTGTTAGCCATTTTACCCCCTTCTATCATAGTGCACATAGCTCCTTGTACCCTGTAATGCTGATAAGAAAAGAATAAACAACTGAGACTGAACAAGAGAAAACTGCCTCCCTCTCATCAATCTTCAGTTCAAAGGGAAAAAGAACCTAACCCCAAAGTCCTTAACGAGACACTGGACTGAGGTGCTAGGCAAGTCATAACTGGATAAAAAAGCAAAAGGGAAATTCTGAAAAGGAAGCTTGTAATCTGGTTCTGAAAAGCAACCTAATCTGGGAAGTAAAAGCCTTTTTGCAAGAGCCAAAATTTATTTTTTTTTCTTTTATTCTTTAATACAGTGCCTTTTCCATGGAATGAATATTGTTCATTTTGCCTGGGAAACTTCATTGCCTTCCCCAAACATCTGATTTATGTCTGTTTTTGAAGCAAATTTAAAATGAGGGCAGGTGGACTTTGGAGGTTGTTTTTATGCAGCAGGAATGTAAAACACAGAATGAAAATGAGGAGTTGATGGTTCTTTTTCCAAGTATAATTAAGTGGTTTGGAGCAAATTTTCTGGTTCTCCTTGGTTTTTTCTGTTAAGTAAGAAGTCTGTCCTGTCCTTTTCTATGAACTTGAAGCCATTAAGATGTTAAAAGTTTAGATACTCTAGAGGTAAGCAACAAAAAGAACTGCAGGAGCTGTGGCTTTGGAATTAATCCTTTGCACAGGAGGGTGATAAGTGGATGGGTGTGTTTGAAAGAAGGTATTTTTGTCATAGAACCCAAGGGATTTTTCCATTTATGGCAACTCCATCTCCCCATCTTTGAAGGTGTTGGCTGAGGAACCAGCGATTGTGGTGGAGTTGTGACCCTGCTGCTACACCGGGGGTCATTTCCAGCTTTCACTTGGTAGCAACCTGATCTTTTTGTTTCCACACAATGAAATTATTTAGCCCACAAATTCTGAGTTCCAAAGCTGACGTGGAAAAACAAGTACAATTTTATGCTGGTGAAAAGGTTTAATTGTTTTAAAGAATTTCAATTTTAAAGTAATTTCACTTCTGTTTCTTTACACACAAATACTTTTATGAGTAATTTTTCATATTGATTTGTACATCACTTAAGATTTTTTCAGCTGCATACCAAAACTGACCTAAAAATGCCAGGATCCTTCGGGAACACTGCAGGAGTCCTTATATTTAGTATTAACTGAAAACATTCTGAAATTCCTCCTAAAGCAGCCTACCTCTGCACATCTTTGAACGAACTCTAGATTCTCACACTCACCCGTTATCCACCTGCCTGATTGCCAGCTCTTAGTCATTTCTGTGCTCATTTTTATGATCAAATATAGTTTTCATATATTTTTACTCTTATTCCTCAAAAAAAACCCAACAAAAAACCCCAGATGGGATCAAAACTTCTTCTTACTTTTAATTTCCCTTACATTTTTTTCCTTGAATATGTGCTGTTTAGCTCCTTTTATCTATGTCCATTTCTTCCTAATCTGTTCATTCTCTGAAGTCTGTGAGCTTTGGCTGCTTTCAGCTGAGGAATATGAAGCAGCTGTTAGCTCAGTGTGATCAGTCAGGGAGGCCTGGTTTGTGTTTGCTGGCCATCACTGGAGGCAGTAAGCCCAAGCTCTGATTTCTTGCTGTTGGCCTTTTCCAAGTCCTGTCTCCTCTCCTGCTGTCTCTATTCTCAGTTTCCTCCTATCCCTGTAGCCTTTAGTTTCCCTTTCTCTCCACCTTTTCTTTATTTATATATTTTGCTTATTGTACAATTTTTGATGAAAAAAATCTCTGTGAGTATATCTGACCCATGTACAAGTCTCAGAAGAGAGTGAAACCTGTAATTATATAGCTTAAAAGAATGAAATAGGTCAGACAATAAGCCAAGGAAAAACAAGGGTGAAGTACGTGAGGTGTTTAGGTAAAATTTGTCATTGGATGTATCATGCTACCAAAAAGGAATAATTCAAATACAGAGGAAAAGAGACTAGTAGAATGCTTAGGGAGAAAATTGTTTGAAGGGTCATCATATGTTTGCCTTTTAAATACTTTTATTGTTCATTGTTCTGATTTCATCTGGGAATGACTTAATTTTCTTCCTAGTAGTACAGTGCTATGTTTTGGGCTTAGATTGTGAATAATGCTGATAACACACTGATGGTTTAGTTGTTGCTGAGCAGGGCTTACACTAAGTCAAGGACTTTTCAGCTCCTCCTAGTGCTCTGCCAGCAAGGAGACTGGGGGTACACAAGAAGCTGGGAGGGGACAGAGCCAGGACAGCTGACCCAAACTGGCCAAAGGGATATCCCACAGCATTTGGTGTCATGCTCAGCAAATAAACCAGGGGAGAGCCAGTGGGGAGCACTGCTTGGGAACTGGCTAGGCATAGGTGGGTGAGAAATTGTTCTTTCAATGGCATCACTTGTTTCTGTCGGGTTTTATTTCTCTCTCCTTTTCATATTTTCATTGCTATTATTACTATTATTATTGTTATTATTAAATTGTTTCAGTTATTAAAATGTTCTTATCTCAATCCATGAGTTTTCTTACTTTTAACCTTCCTTTAAAGCCCCATTGAGGGGGAGCATGAGCAAGTGGTTATGTGAGGTTTAGTTGCCAGATGGGCTTAAAACACATTATTTGTTGCTTACTTTGGTTTTTGCTTAAAAGGAAAATAATTCTGATTATCTGTCAATAAATGTTTCTTTCTCTTTAGGAGTTCTGGGCTCTCCAGGATCTAGGTAAACACAAATTATTTTCAGAATGGGTCACTATGTACCTCCTGAGATTAAAAAGGTAAGTCTGATTGCAGTTTAAAGTGTGCATTTCCCAGAAGCAGGCAACTTTGATCTGCAGTGATTTTCCATAGTCTTTAGCAGGTCTAATAAACTGGCCCAAGCATGGTTTCATACACCTTTTTTTGTCTTCATGGTTTTAGATTGTGCTGGGTACAACAATAATTACTGCTGTAGTTCTGTTTTGACACACAGGTACATAAAAATGACATGGAAGGAGTAATTTCTATTCTTTGTCCTTCACTGAGCACCTGATCAGTTTTCTTTGGTTAACAGTTTTTCTTAAAATATCAATCCTACAGACTCAGTCAAAGAATCACAAATAGACTTTGCAAGTACATAGGGATGACTAGTGTTTAATTACTGTTTATATATGAATATTTACTATGTAATAACATTGTGGTGGCAGGGGATGGAAGTTGAACAGTTGTAAATACACAGATTGTGTCTGGAAACCATGATGTTGCATAGATAGGAATGCACAGGATTCTTTTGTGTTAAATCAATAAAAAATCTATCATTTTTTTCTTAATTATATATGGTATGCATGGCTAATAATAGTGAAAATAAATACATATCAGGTACTTGGAAACTTTATGCAGAAAATACAATTCTTAGGGGAGAAATCAATACAAGGCACAAAACCTACAAGAATGTGCAGCTTTTTCCAAGTCTAATCGTTCTTAGAGATTCACACAAGCTTCTGTCAAACAGAAAAGCAGAGCACTTAATGTTTTTAATGGAAGTCAAATAAGATATTTCTAAAAATAAATCAGCATAACCCTCACTAGCCAAAATGCTTTCTGTTTTTCTTCTTTTAATTTGTTTTTCATGTGTAGTAACAACAATGACTCAGATGCCAAAAGAAGAACAAGAATGGCAAGTGAGTAAAACAACCCAAGGGAATTATACTCTTGCAGATGGCACATATTTATTTACATATGTTTCTTTCATATTAGATATTTTTCTTTTTGGGTAGAACTAAAATATTTTTCTGAAGAAGAGAAGCTCTCATTATGCTGCTGCAAATCTTGTAACACCATATATTCATTCTGTCTCTGTCCTTTCTATGTGCTACAGAAAATTCAGATTTCTGACAGGGACATGCTTTTCCTTTCTGTCACTCAGAGAAAAAACTCCTTGTGAAAGGATTATCTAGTCATAGAAGGCAAAGGAAAGTGCTTTGATTCTCCAAGTTACTCTAAACACAAAATGGCAAAGGTACTGCAGTTAGGTATCACAGCAGAAACAGCAGATATGAAACTCCAAGAATTGTTCAGTGGGAGATATTTTTGATATGCATAAGCTGTGGTAAATTTGTGACTCCAAGAATTGTTCAGTGGGAGATATTTTTGATATGCATAAGCTGTGGTAAATTTGTGACATTTGCTTATTAGAGAAAATGAGCAACTGAAAATCAATGGCCAAAGGGAATGCAGGAACTAGAGGATCTGATCAAACTCGGCACAAGAGGCTTTGCTGTTACACTGCTTTGCAGGGTGCTTCCTGCAAAGCAGGATGGAAATGGCTGCACTCTTTTGTCAGATATTGATTGGCCACTTTCTTCTACAGCTCCAATTGATTTGCTAGGAAAATGGCAGGAGCTGGCACTGACTTTCAGTAATGAGATAGTAAAACTACAGAGGGCACAGATGGTTTCAGGTTTGCATCCCCATTTTCTAACAAAGGCTCTATCCTTTTTAAAGAACAATTCTTAAAATTCTATGTGCATTTTAGAAAGTTAATATGAAAGAGCTACCAAGAACAAATATTTATTTTATTGTTTTTTGATAGGGGTAAGAAGCTTCATCTGTGAGTTTCTGAGGCCCTTTGCTCAATTATCATTTTGAGTTTTCAAGCTCCTGTTTTCCTCAGCTAAATGCTGAATGCTGAAAATTGTCTAAACACACTTCTTATTTTTCTGTATTTTTGACTCTGTCATGATTTTCTCTAAAAGCATTCTGAGGTTTTATTCCAAATCAGAAAGGATCCTAGTTTGTCCATGCTCTTCTGCAAACCATTATTATGTTTTTCCATATGCACCTCAGAAGATCTCATAGTACAGGAGATGGATGAAACACAGAAAAGGTTTTGCCTCCAAAATCACACTTGTGCTAATGGTCTTAGTTTTGGTAGCAGTCAAAACTTGATCTGCAAAGATTAATGGTTCAGTTAGTTTTCTTCCATATAATCAACCATCACTCTATTCATACTGCAGAGATGCAAAAATTTATCATAGGCTACTAATGTTAGTTTGTTATTGTTTTATTTAAAATCAACACTTCTAGTTGGATTTTTGCTAGCTGCTCCATTTTACAGAGTGACTGAAATTTCTTACAGAGGTTTTGGGATTTTTTTTTGTTCTGTTTTATATTTGTTTATCTATGCATTTAAATAGATTGCTTAGATGCCCCTGTGGTCTCTTTAAAATTATTTCAGTTTTTGTTTTGTTTGTTGTTTGTTTGAGCATTTGCTTGTAACAGCTGTGCTGGTCAGCAAAACTTCCAGCAGAAATCTGGCTCAATTCAGTCAATTCTGCATTTTTACCCAGCATTTCATGTTGAAGACAAAACTGTCATGGCTCTTCAGATTCTCAGCTGTGTTGGGAAGTTCCAATAAACTGTGTGCTGCTGTTTTTGACTGACCTTGAATATATTGGCATTAACACCTCATTATTCCTCACCCTTCCCTAATTGTTAGTAAGTGTCATAAAAAAATCTCACTTCTCAAAGTACATTAACTTGAATCATTTGAAGTCATCACTTATTCATTATTTTTATTTTATTCTCCCTTTATGTAGTTTTCAGTTCTTAGTAGCGCTTTATCTTGCACCACCTAAACTTAGTTCTTCTGGAGTTGATCAAAAAGTTTTGACAATCCAAGTCTAAAATTGTATTTCCTTACAAAAGAAGCATGTAAAAAAAGTAGACCAGATCATACTTATAAGGGCACGAAAGTGCTTTTGCTTTGCCCTTTTCTTACCTGGCTTGTATTACTCTTTCATAATTATCTTGTCACTTGTGTTAAATACCAGTATTTTTAAAACCACTGTGAAGCGTGTCAATTTGCAATTGTTAAGAATTTATTTCTGGGACAAATATTCTCCTGATAAAATGACTCACAGCTGTAATGTGAATTACCATTTTTTGAATGAGTCATATCTTAACTTTTTCACCTTTAAAAATATTTTTAAAAATAGTTATCACACCTTACTATTGATAAGCCATTTACTGGATTAAATCAAACACTTGGCCAGTGCAAATTGTTTTGCCAAGTGGTAAAACACTGGTTTTTAGCAGTTAGGGCAGAGTGTTGTTATGCCTGTGTAGAGGTTGTCAGGATTCCCAGTAGACAGTTGTATTTACTGGCTTTTTTAATATGTCTAAGTACATACTGGACAGTGGGGATGTGAAAAAGAAGAATGTCTGCAGCCCCTTCTAATGTATTATTTGTAAATAAAATAATTTAATAACTAATTGATAAAAGGAATTGAGTAGAGGATAGTTTGAGATGGTAATTTTGATGATTCCTCTGCTTTTTCTAATACCCTCTTTCAAATATGCTGTAAGGGTATTTATAAGAATATTTTATAAATCTCTGTGGATTTTTAAAAAGAAATATATAAAACTAACATTTATTCATATCTAAAACTAACATTTTTTCATATAAAACCTGCTGGGACATCAGTGGAAAGAGAAGGAGATGAAGTTTGTGTATGTCCATAAATCTCAGACTTTTGGTTTCAAGTGCCTGGATGAAACACCTTTGGTATCACTAACTAATACCTTAATGTAATAAATGCTTACCGAATTGGGAAAAATATACAGACCAATGGCAAATTAAGACTTCAAAGCAGGCTTGAAGTGTTACAATTATTCTGTAATGTTGTTTTGAACATTAGGTAACGGGAAAACTTACTGAAGTAGAATTCTAGGCTTTAATTGCAGAACAAAAATAAAAATTTCATTGACATAATCTGCTAAGAAGTTGATAATTAGAGCCACTTGTGCTGATAAGAATTGTCCCTGGCATACAGTTTGACAAAATTCCTTTTACAAGTAATTAGTAGCTCTGCTGTAGGATATATCCTGGTCTACTAATTCAGCAATTTCATCTTCCAGTTTAGCTAAATTCTCTCTACTGCTCGTTAGACAAAAGCAGCCTGAAACAAGGCAGGGAAACAGTGCAGTTGTCATGAGGGTTTCCAAAAACATACAACAGACAGCTGTGGAAAAATCTGAGGAGCTTCTGTCTACCCCCAGCCAGGAGACTAAAAGGAAAGTTGAAAAAGTAGTTTCTAAAATACACAGCTGAAATGTAACATTAAAGACTTTTATGACTAAACTTCTGTTACATGACATTGAAGGAGTATCTAAGTGCATATACTTTAAAATATATCTTAGTAATTTCTTTTTAAATTAAAAAATACAGTATTAATTTTTGTGATTTCCAGAAAGGTTGAACATTGAAATGTTTTCCATCAACACAGCAGGAACCTAGGCCATGATAAACTCATCAAACTTGAAAAGCCTGCAGGTGTTCCTGACAGGAATCCTTCCCGTATCAATGTCATGTTCTGGGCTACTCTAATTTCTGCTTGGCACTTTGGCACTACTGATACTGCAAGTTTTAAAATCCTTTTAGCAACTCATAGAATTAAGTAGATTGATTAATTCCTTTTCCATTTTATGTGTTTTTTTCTTGATCTGCAAATTTAAATTTTCTTGAAGATTTCGGTGACATGTTTCAATGACTGTTTCCATTTTGTTGAATATGTCTAACTAAATTTAACATTATTTGCTCTTGGTTTCAGCTGTTAATCCTAGATACATACTTAGGAATTGGATGGCAGAATCAGCAGTGCAAAAAGCTAATTTGAATGATTTCTCAGAGGTAAAATTATCTTTTTTTTTTTTTTGTGGCAGATTTAATAATAACTGTCATAACAGCTAAAGAAACAATTTTTACATTTACACTTTGAACAGTACTACATTTTGACCAAAATTGTACCATATAACACCAATTGCTATTTAAAATATTAACAAAATTATTAATAATATTTATTATAGCATACATAGTAGTGACTATATTAATAGTAGTACTAATAATAGTAAGCAATTAATGTGGTAGTTTCTGGAGCCAGGAGGGCATAAGGCAAAGTGGAAAAAACTTTCCTTGTTTACCAGAAAGCATTTTGTATAAAAACTTACCCATTTTTAACTGCTTCCAGGTTCAGCTCCTAGAGCAGGTTTTACAACACCCCTTTCAGAGGCAGGAGGCTGCAGAGAGAGCAGGGTACTCCCTGCGCCCCCCAGCTTGGGCCAAGCATCTGAAAGTCAGCTGTTCATCCTGAGGGAAATTCAAACAAGCAAGAAGAATGATCAAGGTCAAAGCTCAAGCCTTCAAATAGGGCTAATGGATCAAGCCACAGGAACTTCTCTCCCCTTAGACTCTGTGGACTGGAATCTGCTACTGTTCTTGACCAGTTTATGAAGTTTTAAGACTAAAGAAGTGCATCACTATGTATGGTTGCATCAGCAGATTATGCTGGCATTGACAACTCTGTTTCTCACATTCAGCTGTGCATTACTTTGAGTCCAAATATTTAAGTTCTGCCAAACTGTCACACTTAACCTTTCAAAATTCATGGCTGATCAGGTGGGTCTTAATATCTTTTAGTGACTGATCAATTTAAAATCCATCTAAGCTAGTTTTTGTAATGCAGTATTTTGATGAATTTTCCTCTTGCTGTTACACACTCAAATATAGCCGTGTTCTGCAGACATAAATGTTAAATCTTGCAGACCTTGGCACCTTTTCTCATTCTGATTATGTTTTGTACCATTAAGCTGACAAAAGATTTAAAGGAAATGCAGTTAAATACTTAGCAAAGGTGTCTGTCTTGGGAGTGACTTACTCCAGAGTAAGTTTTGGTGTCTTTGCTGGTGTCAGGTACCTATCCAGAGGACCATTGCTCTTTGAAACTATCTTTTGGTAGGAGTAGAAAGATTATTGCTGCATAGATATGAAGTCTCAGGAAAAATTCACTGTTTGGACCTGGGAAAGGACAGTGTTGGACTGTGTCTTAGCTGAGACTGCTTCCATTTCTGGTATGGAGGGAGGTTAAAAAGGACGTGCTGCAATTTCAGCATTTTGCAGGCTAAAATGCTGTAAGGTCTAGTGATCTAAAGACCATTTAGAGGGCAGTAGGTTAGGCAGAGGTGGAAGGATTAATTTCTTTTTACACTTTGAATTACAGCATTGGAACATCTTTCTGTATTTTGCAGCATATTTTGGTACCAGATCAAGCCAGATAATTGTGTATCAATAAGGGGCAGCTTTGTTCTTTGAATGAAGTTTAAATCTTACGTTTTAAAAATTCCATGTAGCCATGTACATACACAAAATAGTTGATAGAGGTCTAATCATCACAGCATTTTACTTGATTTCTGGAATTTTCTGTAGGCTTCGGTTTCGTTTTTTTTTTTAAGAAAGTTCAACTTCTTTTGTTTAAGTGCGTGAATTATGATCAACTGCAGATATAAAAAATGTATGAAATTGATTTTTTTGTGTTGTAACAAAAGAGAAGGGAGGAAATGAGGTGAGAGGCTGGGGCATTCTGGTGAAAAGAGTGAATGCTAGAAAATCCATTGTAAAAGTCTCAGTGCTTTGTGACCTTATTGTGCAACATTTTTCCAAGGATATGCTCTGCTTTATTTTGATGCTGGGTGTATATTTCATAAAATTAATTTGATTTTAAAATAGTTGACTTGCAGACAGCTGTTGTCACCTTAGTATGTCAAATATGTGCACTCCTAATACCTAGTCAGAAACTGTCCAGCTCTTCAATGATTCTGCATAATGCTTCCTTCAGTTTTATATGGGACGGGATTGGGAAACAGTAATCCTTTCCTCATTTTTAGGTTTGTTTTTTTTTTATCTTCTAGTTTTAACCCTCTCCCTTTTAGGCTGTTGGTATTTTTCTACTCCACTTTGAATTGAGGCCTGTATGAGCTTTGCACTGGCTGCAAGGGAGTTTCTCTGTTTGGCAGTTTGAGGGTGCTGATGCCTTTTCAATGTCCCAGCATGTCAATTCAAGACTTCCAGGTGACACTTTTCTTAGTGGTGGGCACAGTTCTCTTGGTGAGAGCTTTTTGCTCAGTTCAACTGAAAGCAAGGCAGCTCAGAAACCAATAAGAGCTGGATGGACTCTCTCTGTCAGCTTAACATGGTATTTAAAGCAAAATCATTTCAGGAAGAAATGCACGTGATTCCAAACACTGTTTTCAGCTTTAAATAAAATAAAATAGAATTTTTTTAAAAGTAGTAATTTCAAAGGGAAAGGTTCTTTATAAAGATATGGTTACAGCTTTCTTATTTCTGCTGATCTTGTTATGCAGATATCTAAGTATTGCCAAACCAACCTTAAACCACAAATAAGACTAGAGATGACCCAAAACACAGACTGTGGCACTGCCAGCAGCTTGTCTTTCACCACTTCTGGATCTAGCAATCCATTCTGACAAAAACAGCAGGCTCGTCCCCTGCTCTGTCTGCTGCTTTCATGTATTTATTTATTTAGACCACACACTTTGCTTTTTTATCATTCAAAATACAGAGATATACTGCTGATATCTTAGAAGGTCAAGTGTGCATGAGAAGAGGCAAAGACCAGAAAAAATAAAAACAAAGTCTAGAAGGTATAGGCAAAAATTCTTTAAAATATTTGAAGTTCAAATTGCCAGAAAAAGGCTGTTCATTAACTGTGACACTTTGTACAGATATAAAATAGAAGCTATTTTGATTTAAGAGCTAACAATGAATGCTTCCTAAACGAACAGTGGAGAATTAAATGGGGAGAACAAATGGAGGAGGAGACATTCCTATCAGATACAAGATAATTACAAAGCCTTTCACAAGACAGATCATTTCTAGGTACAGTTTGAAGACAAATGTTAACCAACAGAAAAAAAATCTCTTCTTACCATGGAAGCATATATGATTTCAAAATAAAATATTTTTCTTTGTCTAAGGCAACCAAATAAATGAGATTTCAAAGCAGCAGTTGTGAATGCTGACAGGTATGACTGAATTGTATATAGAAACAGGAATGTGTAACATTTGGAGTGACACTGTCTGGAAATGGTCCTGGCCCTAACTTGCATCTCCCAGTAATCTAGCTGAGGTTTTAATTTTTAAGACCTACTATTTAAAAAAATAAAATTAAAAGAATCTTTGTATTGGAAGAAAATCCCCCATAGCTGGAAGTTTTCTGATGAAGTACTTTTAAGGGCAATTCTGTGAAAAAGGATCTTCCTTCCCACTTCTCAAAATTTGCATGAGGACATTGTATTTTTCCTTTAACTCCATTTCTACTGAAAAGGCAGCCAGAGTAGATGCATTTCACTTTCTGAAATGGCTGGCTCCAGAGTGCTGCTCCACCATCCCTGTCTGTCCTTGTGGAGGGAAGCAAGACTCCAGCTAATTCTTAACTTGGCCTGGTGGTGGAATTGGAATTAAGAGCAGGGGATGGTGAGGTGTAGGGAGGAAAAGAGCAGGTTATAGGGACAAAGTGGGAGACAAAGGGTGCCCCACCTTCTCAAGACACCCCCCCCACCCCAAGAGGAACTCTGAAGGAGAATTCCTCCTGGAGAAGCCTGATCCAGCATGACCTTCTGTGATGCCTCACAAAACCAGCTATGTCTTAAAGTCTACCCATTCCCAGAGTTCAGGAGTTGTTACCCCTTTTCTTCTCAAGAGCCTTCATTAGGTCAGACATGAAATCGGCTTGCTTGCCTCCCCCTGCCATCAGAGGTGGCCCCACTGACTGTGGCTCTCCATCTTGTCCTGTGCTTTCCAGCCTTTTTGGAGGAAGTGGTACAGGTTTCTTCGCTGGAGGTGGTGGTGGCTTACTGGAGACAGGTGGAGGTGGAGGGGGTAATGGCACATCTCCATTGCTGCTGCTGGAGACTGGTGGTGGTGGTGGCACAAAATCAGGAGGTGGTTCACAGAAATCAGGTGGTGGTGGTGGAGGAAAATCAACCTTCAGTGTAGGTGGTGGTGCTGGAAAGCTCTCTGGATCTGTTAGGAAAATGCCACTGTCTCGTTTCACTTTGGAGGGCAGAACTGGTGAAGCAGAAATAGCAGATGAACGCCTTTCAGGTGGAGGAGGAGGCTGCAGTGATGTCCTCTTACTCTGGACTTTCTGTGGCCTCAGCAATGGTTGTTTCAGGCTGGGTGCACTGGCATTATTTGTTTCAGCCTTTAATAAGCAGAAAAATAAAAGGACAGACATAGTAAATGTGTAAACTAATGCCACTGCCTAAGAACATAAAAAAAAGTGAAAATACATCAGTGTAGTGACAGGGAAATTAGGTAGAGTACATTTTGCCTGAAACATGAAAATGGTATTTTGTTTTCTTTCTGGAGCTGCCACAGAGGTTTGACAGTGGAAACCTCCCTGTTGACAGTCTTCATAGTGCTTCTTTGAATGCTGTCCACGGACGATAAGTACTTTTGAAATTTCAAATAATTGCAGTTAGTAAGACTAGCATCAAGAAAGTGTCTTTGGGATGCATTGTCCTTGAGCCTGGAAGAAATGATCCTTGAATTTTGACCACCTCTCTTGGACCCCTCTTCCCTTCAGGGCCTTCTCCCATGAGATTCTTCCAAGAATATCCCTAAAGATGCTAAAGTTAGCTTTCCTGGAGTCCCTGTTTGTAATTGTGCTCTCTGGCCTGCTACCTCTTCCTTCAATACTGAACTCTACAATCCCATGGCCACTGCAGCCAAGGCTGCTCCAACCTT